AAATAAAAATAAATTAATTTAATAATAGTTTTTTAGTAACAGAGATAAGACTGTAAACTTTTGCCAATATATGGTAGGTCGAACGAAACCCATCAATGCTGAGTTGGGTGCTAAAATATCCAGTTGTTACTAAGAAAGTGACGGGTGATCGAAGTAGATGTACTTTTTTCATCCATAAAAAAAAAACGGTTTGGTGTGGTTTGAGGGACGGTGGAATCAATTCATAAGGAGTATCATGAACTCTCTTTCGAGGACCGCACCAAGTACCTTGGGGTTATCTTGGACAGCAAACTTTTGTCGAAGCACAACGTGGAAGAAAGAAGAAAGTGAGAATAGCTAGCAATGCATATAAAGCGTGTAGGCAGATGCTCGGTAAAGCCTGGAATACAGGACTAGATTATCAAAAATGGTGTACGGCTAACATCCGAAAACATTCATCAGCATGGCATTGTCTATACCACGATATCGACCTGACCCGGTGGAACGAGCTACACGAGGGAAAAAATGAAAAAGACATATGCAAAAAGGTAGATCGGAACTATAGAAAAATCATATTGGCACTGGATAGAAGAGACTGTAGGAGCATGATGGTAAAACTAACTGATATGGTAACGACACACGCCCGCAAGATGGGGCTGACAGATCGGGTAGACTGCTAGAAATGCCCAGAGTGCGGCATCAGGGAAACAATGGAGCATCTCTTTTGCACTTGTCTTGTATTCGAAAAACTACGTTGTAAGCATCAGCCCTACAGTATGATACATTAGAGGAGGTATCGATAGTAAAGCCGCAGAGTATGTTAAAATTCGCATCAAGCGCAGGCATCCTAAACGTAGTCATCGTCATCTCCTCTTGGACTTAGCAGGTGAACTTCATCTGGTTCGCAAGGAACCAAACATATATGAAAAAATATTATAACGAAATTGTAATTGGAAAATTTTTAGAAAATATTTGAATAAAACCATAATAATAATTATTGATTAAAGAAAAAAAGGTTAAAGAAAAGCAACAGTTTAACAAACCAACATGTAAACAAAAGTTTAAAAACTACAAATAAATTATATATTTAATATTATTATTTATATGATTATGTGGTTATATTAAATATGAATTGGGTTATATATAGATATAGATATGTATATATGTATGTGATTATTATTCATGTTTATGACGTTGACATCAAAAATTCGGTTGTCAGCGCGCCATCCAAACACTGAAATGCCTATAAAAATATAATTAATAAGGACAAATTTGTTGAAAATATTTTGTTTTGTTTTTTCCAAAAATGTATGCCGCATTTGGTAACGTCGAGACAAAATTCAAAAATGTCAACATTTCATTAGTAAATTATGATGCAGTAAATGAGAAAGTGTAAGAAAAAAATGGAGTTTGTGAAAAATTGTGTAATTTCGATGAAAATGTAAAAAAAAATTAATAAATACTTTGTAAAAATATAAAGTCATGAATTATATCAATTTTAATACAGAAATGTTTTGTATAATATAAATATCAAAATAAAATGAAGTAAATAAAATAACATATTTTAACCGCTTTGAAATTTTTTTTTGTTTTGAGATAATTTTATTTTGTCAAAAATTATGAAACTTTTGTCAATATAATTTTTTTATTCTCACTGAAATTTTTTGTCGAATTTTTTTTTCAAAAATCATAAAACTTCTTTAAAAATTAGTATTTCGTGAAATAATTTATTTAAATTGGTGTATTCAATTTTTATTTTCGAAAAAAAGTTTCTTGTGAATTTTTATAATTGAAAGTTACAATTAACAGATTTTTATTATGATAAATTGTAATTTTTTAACTTTTTTTAGTTTTATAGAACTCATTAAAAAATATTTTGTGTATCTTTTTTTAGAAAAAAATAAACTAAAATATTTAATAAAATCAAATTTTTATGATAAAATGGGTGGATTTTTCTTTCATGTAGCAAATGTTATAAAAATCATTAAAAATTAATAATTTAATACAAAAATATATTTCTTTAACTAAAAATATTTAATATTTGCTTAAAATCCATCGTTCATAATAAGTAATACTTATAATTTTGTAAAAAAAAAAATTAATATAATGCATGTGTTAGATACATTAAAAGTAATATATTCCATAAATGATTAAAATAATATATTTCTAACTAAAAGGATTTAAAAAAAATTCCTTGAACTGTGTTGCAAACTCATAAAAAATGTTATACTGCACATAAAAATAAAACTCTCTTCATGAAAATTAAATTTAAAAAATAATTTTCATTGAAAATTCCTCGAACTGTGTTTCAAACTCATAAAAAATGGTAAACTTAAAATTTTTATAAAATTTGTTTCATGAAAATTAAATTGCAAAACAAACACTTAAACGAGCAACGCTCGCTTAACTATACATACCATCTTCGTGTGTGCGCACAATGATCGGATGCGAGCGCGGCCCATCGCCGACCGAGGTGCCGGCCAGCGTCCAGATCTTATACTCGGTCCAACGCTTCAACTCATCCAAAACGATATGTGTCTTATTCAAGGTGGTTATGGTCGCTTCGCTATCGGCACGGCCCACCTCGACGAAGAAGACCTTGTAGTAGATGATGCGACCGTTGGCACGCTCCACGGGCGGTGGCAGCCATGAGACGGATATTGTAGTGGGGCTGGTGGCCATGGCGGTGATATTGCGCGGCGGTGCACCTGGTACTAAGTGAAGGAAATCGGAACGGAATGGAATGGAACGTACAAGTTTGGTTTTCGTTTTTTTTTTTTTTAATGCAGTTGTTTTGTGGTGACAATGGTTTAGAGTTGATTTAAATGTATTTGTAATATTTTATTAAATTAAATTTTTTTTAATACATTTTTTAAATTTTTTAAAAATATTTTTTTTTTAATTTTTAAAAATATTTTTTTTTAAATTTTTTAATTTTTGTTTAATATTATTTTTTGTAAGTAGTTTTATTTTATTTTTTGTATGAAACAATGCAATAAAATTATTATTTTTTGATTAATATGATTTTTGGTTGTTTCGTGGTGTTTGGTTTGGTTGGTGAGTTGAATGGTTGATTGTTGTTGGTTTTTGTGGTGATAGCAGCCAAAATGTATATATATGTTTGTATTTTTGTTGTTGTTTTGCATGTTGGTTTTTCATATTATAAAATGTATTTGGTTTAATAATTTTAATATATTATTTTGTGGTAAATTTTTGTTGTTTTTCCAGCATAAGAGTAACACAAACGCAAAAACATGGATCGCAAAAGCAACGCAAAAGCAATGAAATGAAATGAAAAAGAAAACAATTACATACAAATTAGCAAATCATATGTTAATGAAAAAGTTGTTGTTATCAAATTTAATGCATAACACTTTAAAAACAATAAAAGTCAAATAAAAATGCTTAAAAAACTTTAATAAATATATTAAAAATAATACATAAGTAATTCACCAATGGTTTATGCAAGTATCAACATTTTCAATATTTTTCGCATGTTTTGTTGATTTTTTTTTTCAAATTTCATGAAATCTTGCTATATTTTCTGTACGTCAAAATTTTGCGCATATTTTTTGGTTCATTTTCATTTAAAACACGCACATTTTTTAATACTTTTTTTAAGGGTTTCGACTCAATAAATTAAAAAGCATTAAATTGCATTTAAATATATTTTTATAAATGCAAATTTATATTTTTTATACTTATCTTTTACATTTTAAATTGTGCTAAAAAATGGTGCATCTAAGCTAGAAAATAATAAGTAGTGGCTTTAGTTTTTCCTTCACACACTTCTGCTTATGTGCTTTTTATGGTCGGGTGCTAAAAACACACAACTTTTTTTTATTCAAATATTATTTTTCATCACTTAAACATTCAGGATTTAAAGAAATAAATTCGTATTTCAAAAGAAACATGCAGCACGCAAAATAGAAGAGAGAGAGAGTAAGATTGGTGCATTTTTTAAGTAAGGAAATGAACTCAATAAAAGGGGATGTTGGTAATTATGAAAAAGCAACGCATTTGGAAACTCAAAGGCATTAAAAAATCTGGTTTTAACGTTTAATTTTTTATACATATGTAGCAAAACATATGAAAGTTAAGACTTTTTGACTTGTGCAATTTACTGTACAATAGTTGGATTTAAGGGATACTTTTTATTAAACACAAATTTAATATTTTTTAATTAATTATTTTTTTTAATTCTTGTTCTTTTTCTGCATAAACCATTTTGGAGCGAGTGTGGGATATACAATTTTGGACGAAAAATTTGTTATAAACTTAAAGTTCACTTATAATAGTAATTTTTTAAGGTTATGGCTTAGGATTAGGGATAAAAATGTTTATATATTTTTTAAACATTTTAAACGAAGATAAAACACTTTTACAGTAAACACATAAAAAAGTTAAAATAACGTAAAATTATGAAACACATAAATTAGGTATAGTACAGAGTTTTTTGCTATTAACAATAATATAAGCGGGACGGAATTGAGGAAACTTTCGTTTTCAAAATTCTTAAAAAGTGATTAACAACTAACTTACAAAAAACTTTAATCATAAAATTTTATTTCCATGGCCAGAAAGCTTTTGCCTAGAACTAATAAAATTTTTTTTGAAAGCTCAGAAAGTAAAAAGTTTCTAAAATAATTGCGCTTTATTCTATCAAATAGCTTTTGAGAAAAGCCGGTGTGAAAGCTCGGAAAGCTTTATGGAACAAGAACTGTGTTTATGAAGTAAAGATTGTATACAACTATTTTACTTAATTTTAACAGGTAGCTTTTCATTTAAAGATTTTAACGTTTTTTTTTGAACTCTCAGTAAGCTTTATGTAACAAGAATTATTATTACGAAACAAATATTTTTTTTTTGCTTAATTCTGTCAGGTAGCTTTTGATCCAAAATTTTTAATGATTTTATGAAAGCTCAGAAAGCTACGGATATAAGTAACAAGAATTGTGTTTATGAAGCAAAGAGTTTCGAAAACTATTTAGCCTAAGCCTAGCCCAGATAGCTTTTGATTCAAAACTTTTAAGGTTTTCTTTGAAAGCTCTGAAAGCTTTATGTAATAAGAATTGTGTTTATGTAGCAAAGAGAGTCTAAAACTATTTTGCTTAACATCTTTATATACTGGTTGGCAAATTTGTCACTGAATCGCATTTGAAATCAATGAAATTTTTATTTTATGCTAAACTTTAGTTCACCGTGTGAGCTTTCGTTACGAAACCTTAAGGAAGCTCTTGCAAAGAGTTTTTAGTTTTTTTGATAGACGACGAACCGAAATATTTAACTCTAAAAGCTTAACTAATGTGAAAGCTCAAAACGCTTAATGCTACATAAGTTGTGTTGATGACGTACAGACTGTCTCAAATTATTTTTCTTAATATTTTCATATATTGGAAGGCAGATCAGCTGCGGGGTCGCATTTGAAATCAAGCAAATATTTATAAAAGTTTCAGAAACTTTTGGAATACTTTAATTTTCTGAGTGAGCTTTCGCTATAAAAAGAGAAAGTTGTTACCGATAGTTACAAACCAAACGGCGTGTATGGTCTGGGAAAAGTATTGCATTGTATTGAATAAGCAAATATATTAAGCGAAAAGTTTGACAGGGCGAGCATAAATTAACGCAAAATTAAAAGAACTTTTCAAGGTAGTAAATATAACGCTATTTTCGTTAATTTTCCTTAACAGCATAATATACCGAAGTTTGATCGCATTCGAAATTAAAAATATATATACTTGTACATATACATATATATAAATATATATAAATACTCGTATATTTGCAAAATTTTTATACGAGCTTTTGCACTAAAACCTTAAAAAGCTGTTGAATTTCGATTCTAACTAGAAAGCCTTTATAATATAATGATCGTGCGGAGGATTTTTAGACTTTTGTACATATTCTTACAATTATAATACTTTGAAATCTCTATATAAGCTTTCGCTCTGAAAGCTAAAAAATTTTGGAAATCAACTCCTACCTAAATGCTTTTAAATAATGATCGTGCGGAGGATATTCAGACATACATATTCTTATAAATGTAAAAATTTGAAATATCAATATGAGCATTCACTCTGAAAGCATAAAAAACTTTTGTATAACTTTCGCTACGAAAGTTTTAAAAGAGACCCTGCTATTCGACTCCCACCGAAAAGTTTTTCTTATATAATCATCTTGTGAAAGATTTTCAGATCTTGATATATTAGTTTGTCAAAAAAGTCTTGCGGTATTTTCGATAGTTGGCGCTGAGAGCGCGTAGCTCTAGTTTTATTCGCCACATCCGGTCATGCTATATTATAGCGTCGCAAACATAGAGCAAAATAAAGAGATAATACGGCATATTTTACAGTACTACTACGATAAAGGCAAAACTGCATCTCAAGCAGCCAATAAAATTTGTGCGGTTTATGGACCCGATACAGTTTCCATTTCCACCGCGCAACGATGGTTTCAACGTTTTAGTTCTGGTGTAGAGGTGGTCGAAGGTGCGCCACGCTCCGGAAGGCCTGTCGTCGAAAATTGCGATAAAATCGCTGAATTGGTCAAAAGAGACCGGCATAGTAGCAGCCGTAGCATCGGTAAAGCGCCCAAGAGCTGGGCATGAGTCATCAAAAAAAATTTTATGAGCAATTGAAAATTCAATAAAAATACCGCAAGAAATACCTCAAGACTTTTTTGACAATGTAATATATTTTTACGGTTGCAAATGCTTGAAACCCAATATCAGATTTCGCTCTAAAAGCTTAAATAAGCTCATACATATCGATTCCAGAGAAAACGCTTTTTATCGTGCGGAAGATTTTCGGACTTTTGTATATAGTCTTATACTGGCAAAAGCTTCTTATCTCTTTTCGGAACTTTTGTTATATACTCATTATTTGGAAGATTTTGAAACTTAAAATATCTTCTTTAAAGGTCACTGTTACAACGAAGCTTTTCGAGCAATATTTTGGTTAACACTTTTTAAGATTCAGTGTTGTTGTAATAACATTTAGTAATTTAAGTAGAATAAAGGTAGAGAGGTTACACTTTCATAAAAGATCATAAACTTGCTCAAAGTTTAGATACATACATTTTTACTGATCATAAGACAATGTTACCAAAGATTGAGTGCGAAAAACAACAATACAAAACAGTTACGTTTTTATGCACCTAAATTGAATTATATGATTTCGGGTTAATACTATTATCGCTTTCGCCAACATATTGCATTTCTATAAGTTAAAAAGCTACGATGTTTTTCACGCTGATTTAAAGATAACTTTAAGTTTTTTCCTCAATTCCGCTAATTTGCACTACATAGGTACTACTATAAACAAATAAAACTTACATAAAATATCCGTAGGCTTAAAATATATACAATAAATGACTTAGTAATGTGTTAAACAAACTGTAAACTTTCAAGCGTCATCATTATCACTACAATTTCAACAAGCCATGCAACATTGAAAAAATTTAAAACTTGCAAAAAATGTATGAAAATAATTGAACAAGCAGCTACAAAGCCAAAAAAAGGCAAATTGAAATTTTTAGCAAATTAATTTTTAAAATATGAAAAAAAGCTTTAACACTTTGTGCACAGCTAATTAACTCAGCAACTAACAGTAAGCTGTAAATGAATGCAGTTTGCCAATAAAATGAGCGTTGAACTTTGACCTTTATGAAATTTTTATCCGCATATACTACAAAAGCAATAAAAAAGCCAACATAT